AAAACTTCGTATATTTTCTGAGTCGAGACATTTTAAACTTTAAATATTTTATGGTGAAAGTAGGAAGGTACGTCCGACAGTTATTTTTCATAAATAAAATCGATTACTTAAAATTTAAATATTGAAAACTAAACTAAATAAAAAGCTCAATCACAGAAAAAATTAATGTTAGGTACGCTCTTTATTTTATTTTGATATGGAGTAATTATTAAAATATATTTCACCTCCTGATTATTGCTAAACAATGAATTTTAACTAAGATTTTATTTAGTGTGTACTGCTTTGGGTACGTCCAAAAGTTGTTAATAGTTTAGAAATTCATATTTTGCATTTGTTACAAATAAAAATAAAAATTTAAAAACGTTTTTATCGTTTAACAAAATAATATTGGGTACGTCCATTGACTCTTCTGATTAAATATTATTTATTTATTATTACTTTAACCTCCAGTTAAAAAAGATTTTTTTATTTACCGCTCTAAACAAAAAGCAACTTTAATTACTCTAAACAAAAAGCGAAATTTTTTTTTTTATAACTGTTTGTATAAAGGTAATAAAACTTGAATTTAATTCACTTAACGGTTAAACTAAAACAAGTTATTCTTATACGTAATATTGAAATAATATATTAACTTTATTTTTTTAGATTTAGTTATATTTTTGGGTACGTCTACAGACGTACTAGACGTACCCTAGATTCGCCCCTGAATATCTTTTGAGTATGAGTTATAATATAATAGGCTAATATTTTAAATTAGTCCATTATCATTATAAAATTTAATTTCAGGATCCGAATTGCGATTTAAAAGGATTGAATTTTAATTTTAAATGTTTTAAATTCAAAGTTTGACAAATCAGTTTCCTCAGCCATTTTAAATAAAAGTAATTTTAAAAACAAAAAAAAAATAAAAATTTAAAAAATTTAAATGACTGCACTCGTTTTCCTAAATTCCTTAACAATTAATTTACTATACACAGCAACAAAATACCGTTGGTTCTGTGCAACTTTCACTCTTCAAAAAGCTTTTTCCGTATTAACGCTGTTTCGATTGAATAGTCTTTGTTAATAAATATTCCGGTGCCTTTAAGTTTGTTCTCATTTTTTAGTATTTTTATCTTATCTTTACAGTCAAGGTAAGACTGTTGTCTTTAGAATGTAATCATTAATTAGTATGTTGTCAATTAAAGAGGACGAATGATTTTGTATTCTAGTAGATTTATCAATAATGGATACTGTTCCTGTTTGGAATAAATAATTATAAAAATTTGTTATATTTTTTGTTTTTTATTATATTGGAAATAGTTTAAACTGAAATCGCAAAGTATGTAATTTTTTTTCTTTTCTTTGTTAGTTTTTTTTATTAAATTACCTATGAGATATTTGCTTACGTACTTAGTTCTTCCAGTCGGTTGCCAATAGCTTACTAAAATATTTTTAGATTGTTTGTTTATTATTTCAACCGTTAAAATACCGATATTTTCATCAGAAGCACTCATCTCGCGTCTAATATTATACGCAATGTTTTCTTTTATGTAAAAAAGTACTCCTCCTCCACGCTTATTAACATTACGTTTTAAAAACACTGTATTAAAACCTAGAAGATGGAGATTAGAGTTTGATTTAAAATTTTCTTCTGTATAAAGGTTACAGAGCTTATCAGAATTCGAATTTGAAAAACAAAAAAGTACTTATTATAATTAGATTAGATTAGATTAGATTAGATTAAAATTTATTAGAACAGTGATACATGTTCTAAAGGACACGCAGGTCCATAAAATATGAAGGACTCTGACAACGTGCCCTACAATCACATAATACAAATGCTAGTTAATTTAAAATATATATTACAATTATATATAAGACCATAGTTATAAAACAAAAACCAGTTAGCCGGAACAGTATTTTTCAAAGTCGATAGAGTTAATTTTAATTTTGAAGCTCTTTATATTTTTGGCATTCACGACGTCAGACGGCAAGTTATTTCAAATATTAACAACCCTGAGTGAGAAAGAGTGTTTACGGACATCGAGTTTACATTTTAGTTTACGTAATTTAAAATTATGTCCTCGAGTGTAAATATAGTTGTTAAATAAAAAGAAACTTGATTTATTTAGGAAAACTAAGTTGTTCAGAATTTTGTAACATGTAATCGCGTCTTGCTTAAGGCGACGAATTTCTAGTAGTTCCAAACCAAGAATACTAAGTCTACTTGAATATGAAACATTATTTAGGTTAGAAATTCTCTTGGTAAAACGTCTTTGTACTCTTTCCACTGTATTGTTCATTTTAGTGCGATTTGGCGACCAAACCGGCGAGCAATATTCTAAGATCGGTCTTATATAAGTAGTGTAGGCTTTAACGATAACACGTGGATCACGACTTTTAAAACATTTAAGGATTAGATATCCTCGAATGCTTGATGCACGGACGATATTTGAAATATGATTACTGTAATTCAAATAAGAATCCATGGTCACACCAAGATCTTTTGGGTTTGTAGACCAAGTTAAATTATGATCGCCTAATTGATAGTTGTAATTTATATCTTTACAAAATGAAGTAGGTGCTATTCTATGAGTAAAGCACTTATTATTGGCTATTTTTAATTGCCATTTTTTTTGACCAGAGATAAACTTTATAAATGGCTACAGCAAGATCGTGACTGTAATCGGCATCCTTAAATGAACTATATAACTTGATATCGTCAGCATATAACATTAGAGAGCAATTAAGATCTTTAACTATTTTGTTTCTCAAATTCAAAATCTGATAAGTTTTATAACCTTTTTTCTTTAAATTTTATTCCTTACTTTTTCTATACTCAATTATTTTTCTGTAATGTTGTGTACTTTTCTTTTTATTAATACTTTTATTGCTGCAATTTTTTCATTATTATTTTATTGTTTAATTATCATTATTAGTTTGGTTAATTGCATATAATACATTTTATTAACCATAACATTTTTAAAATATTAATTATTAAATTTTATTATTATTTAAATAATAAATATTAAACATTAATTATTAACCAACGCTTTTTAAATATAACCAATAGTGTATGTGTAAATATATACATATATACATATATATATAATATATATGTATATATATACATATACACTATTGGTTATATTTAAACAACGCGCTGGCTAAAAAATCTAAAATTGCTTTATAATGTGACAAGTTTATATATTGATGTTTTAATTTGGCTTCCATAATAAAACATTTTTCCAACGGAAATTTTCCGTGTTTCAAAACTTATTTTAAAAGAAGGATTCAATTTTGGTAAATGGGTAGTTCCGTACAAATAACGGAAAATAATTCTATGAAAGTACGGGAATTTTTAACAGTGTATGACTTTATAAAGTAAAAATATAGCTATAATAATATAATAATATAATAATAAAAAGCTATAAATATTAGTATTTTCTTCTAGTTTGATAATATTGTATGAAAATGCATTTAAGATTGAGAAAATTTGTATATTTTAGTACGGCTGTGGTACGCCTGGGGTACCCTAGCCCAAACCCTGACAGTACGACATGGTCAGTGTATAATGTATTCGGTAGTGTCTGGTGTCAATATATGTAAATAAGGCCAGAACCATTAGTTACATCGACTAATTTTAATTAACTTTTTAAAAAAATTTAGATAAGTGTACATAATAATTATTACTTTTGGAGTTCTTATGATGCGGAAAAGATTGTAACATGTCATTTATAATAATATTGCGTTATCTTTGTAACTTTTGTCAGTCCTATAATAGTATCGAGTTAACTTTTGTATTTTTTTAGTGAGTAGAGATTATTCTGCGACGGGAAAAGACAGAGGCTATTTTAGGGGAGAGAGGGAGTGTAAAGGGGGCGGGGTTGACACCTCCTAAAGAATGTGATTTTTAGGTAATAAACGGTTTTTTGAGGAATATAGTTAGCTAATTAAAGTCTAGGCATATGTTAGTCCAATGAACTTGAGTTCTGAGGCCTTTTTTGTTTTTAGGAGCAATCTGTTTTTTCAAGAATTATTTTTTCCTTCCCCCCTCCCCCATCCCTTACTCCTCCTTTATTTTATTGGTAGCCTCTGAGGATATTCCAATAACTATAATATTGAGTTTAATTATTTCGAAGTTTATTGCCAATATATGGTCATCCTCTTAAATTACTCGAACTTTCTAAAACTGCTTTTTTCGTATAAAGAACGCATTTCCACCAAATGGTCAATCTTATTCATGTTTATTTGACTAATGGAACTATACAAAGTGCTTATTTTTAGATACGTTTCTTACTTTTGAAGATTCAAGTTTAGTTAACCAATGTTCACATAGAAACGTTTTATTATAAAAATGCATTAGGGACTTCATAAATTCAATGTCTGACGTAACTCCTGACAGTTAAAATTACTATATCGAAATTTGAAGGGTTTATATCGAAATTTGAAGGGTTTTTTTTTCTGTTAGGCTACATGAATCCATTTTTATTTTTTAAATATTCTTATCCTGACACCAATTATAGATACCAGATTTTGATCACGTGAACAAAATCTGGTATCCAACTGGTTTCCAACGGTCGCCAGAATAAAAACTGCGTTGATTTGCGACTTCCGAACTTTTGAATATTGTTGTTTTTGCATACTTTCAATTAATATTACCTCAAGACTCATTGACGTTTTGTGTTGCTTTATTAATAGATTTTGAAAGCATGTTCTTATGGTGCGTATAATTTAAACTGGTTTTGTTTTACGTAATGAATTAGTTTGCAGATATTAAGAAAAAATATATATTCTTTAATAAATACTGCGAAACTTTTATCTTTTTAAACTAAAATTAAATTTTCAATTTTTAAAATCAAACTTATTTTTTAAGTTTTTTAATTGACAAAACAAAACTGATTGAAATAAAAAATTCTTTAACAAAAAAATTCACAACTGCGGTTTAACGTTTTTTTTCACGACTTAATAATTTCACAATATATAACGTCACATAAACGATATTTAAAGATAATTTAAATAAGGGATTCTTAAATAAAAAAAAGTTTCGCTGAAGATAAATTTGCTGATTGTAACATTGTGAGCTGTGTTTCTTTACAAGGTTTGATATTATTGTTCTGATATTGAATGACTTTTTTTTTTAATTTTAGTTTATTATTTTTATTATTTTTATGTCTCCATCTTTTCAATTTAAAATTAAGTAATTTTTGGTTGATTATTATTAAATATTAAAATAACTGCAAAATATAATACAAGTGAAATTTTTTTTTTGCTGAACGACTAATACATTTCTCGTACAGCATTTTTTATTTTGATTTCAACTATGTAGTTTCTTTTTTGTCCATCTTCTTTTTTATTTTGTCTCTTTTACAATAATATTAAGTTGTAAAGATATTAAGTATCAATTACAAACAAATATTATTTCTAATATCTCTATAAAAATACGCTTCTTTTGAGACCAGGTTGACATACTTTTAAATAATATTTTTTTTTTACATCATTTGGGATTTTACACCAAATATTAAAAATTTGAACCCTAATTTTGGGTTCAAATCTTTAGTTTTATGGTAAAATTCCAAATACTTAAGATTTGAACCCCAATTTTTTTTTGTTAATAAATTTTAAATAAAAATATTTTTTTGTTTTCAAAATCTCTATAAAAAAACGCTTCTTTTGAGAGCCAGGTTGACATAGTTTGAATATTTATTTTTGAACACTGAAAAAGTAATCGACAAATCAAAGTTTAGTAAAGCAATTTTATTCCAAAGGTATGATGCACGATATGAAATACAAAATTGGTTATATCTTGTTTTACGAAGTGGTTCATTTACAAAATTATTATTTACAAAATTATTGATTACAAAATTATTATTAGGTGTATTTGTTTATGGGTTTTAAAGTTTACAAACTGAAGAGCATAAAATGTTTTTTCACATATGAATGAAAACAAAAACATTAAATACATTTAATTTACATACATTGATTATTCTCTTTTTAATAAAAAGTATTCTAGTAAGTAAGAATCGATCTGGAAAATTGATTAAACGCTTAGCGTGTTTCTGACGACGCTAAAGACTCTTTAAGTTACTTTTGCCTGTACTACAACAGGCAGCAATTGCATAATTTATATAACTGTGAACAAATGAGTAATTAAGTTGTGTTAAATTTTTTATATATATAGGGGAAGTGGGGGCATAACCGCATATGGAGGCACAACCGTTTTTTAACATTTCTCTTAAAAAAATGTTATCTAATATGGCAAAAAACATACCACGCGTTAGTAAAACAGTTTCCTTCATTTTGCTTATGTCAAATAGAGTGACTGTTAAGTTTCTTAGAAGTTGTGAATAATAATTTTTATTTTGATAAAATTATTATATTTACATCATAATTTTCCTGACCTTCTTTTTGAGAATTAAGCAATATTTAGTTTTAGTGTTAAAAATATGTGTTATCAGCATTATTTCATGAAGTGAAAGTCATTTTTGATAATACCATAATCTAATAATTAATCTATGTAACTGAATTCTTTCTAAAAACTCTCTTCTGGGGTAGAACTCTCTTCTGGGGCAGAACTCAAAATGTAAACACAAAGAATGTCTGCACAATATGCAAACATGCAACAAAATTATTAAATAATCTGAGCTGTGAAAATTGAAAAAAAAATGTACCATGAAAGGTGTAGCCCCATCGATTTTTTTGAGGGTGCGGTTGTGCCTCTCAATGGGGGCAAAACCGTTTTTTTCACTTAGTATAATTTTTGTGTAATAACATTTTCAAAACCTGTTTAATTTTTTTCTTAAATGCATCAATTTAAAGTTTAATGATGTGGTTATTTAAATAAACTGCTAAAAAAACACATTTCGTTTTTATTTTTTTATTATTTCAAACGTTACGGGGGCGGTTATGCCCCCACTTTCCCTATATTCTGGCCGTGTATATTTTTATATCTTTTATCTTTATATTTTCTATTATATTTACTCTATATTTTGAATATTTATATATTTTGATCTTGTATAAGATTCCAATACTCTTATACAACTAATACTTTTACTTGCGGCATGTTTATGAGTATTTAGAGCAAAAAGATTTTATTTTAACGCGTAAATGACTATTGATTTTATCAAAGAGTTTATGGCTAAAAAGAGAGGTGACAAAAAAGAATACATTTTGTTTTGTTTTGCTTATGGTTAGGGATCGTTAATATAGTTCGTGCGCTTGGAGGGGAAGAGGTCAATTATAAAAGTAAGGAGACAAATATATCAATAAACTTTAGGTGAATTTGTTAGGTGAGAAGGGAGGAGGGGGGATGGTTAAGTTCAAAATAAAATTGGTATTAAAATTGTATTGTATTTTATTGGTATTAAAAACAGTTACATTAACTATTGTTCTTGTTTTTTTTTTCTAACAATACATTTAAGTTCTTAAACTTTTGTATTGTATTGCTAAGATTAAAAAAGTTACAATAATTATTGTATTGTTTTGATGAAAAACAATTATAATAAATGTTGTACTGTTTTGATGAAAAACAATTACAATAAATATTGTGAAAAGTGAAGTGAAGCCAGGAAAGCAAGAAGTATATATTCTACGTACACTTAACAAATATTAAATTCAGAGGATTTCGTGAAACCCGTTTTTAGAAACCATTTACATATAATTTATTTATTTATTTTGAGTTCAATAATATAAATGTTTAAAGAATAATTTAACTAGAATTAACATTAGTAATATTCCTTTAAAATCATGCAAATGATGTATAATTTATTATACGTTTGTAGTTAAATAACCATTTACTACATGAAGTGAAACTTTTGATTTTTTTTAAATTTAGTCTAAGGTATTGATAAACATAACAAAAAAGATCAAAAGTTTCCCCTCGCAGAGTCTTAATTAAAAAAAAAATTAAATAGCTCTTTAAGTTTAATGAAAATTGCTTCGTAAAAAAGCTTTTTATCTCCTAATTCTGTTTTTAAAAAAAAAATTGTGTTGCGTAATTCAATACCAGTTAAGGGACGATCCCTTAACTGGTATTGAACTGGTGTCTGTTGTAAAAGCAAAAAACTAAGATGGAAGAAATGATAGGAATTGATTATGTATACATATCTATCCCCAGCAGTAAAAGAGAATCAGGTCAAATAAATGGTACACAATTTAGTGTAATAACACTGGGGATGCCCATTAATATATTTTGATATATACTTAATGTTAATAACTAATTTTACCTACTGGTAATAGTTAAATAATAAAACTTAATAAAAATTCTACTGAGGGTATATGTAAAAAGGGAAGTCCAAATATTGTTCTAACTAAAATAATCATTTTAATTTTTTTTTAAACTAATGAAATTAATAAACATGATAAAATAAGGTATGTCAATTCAAGTTTCTAATTAAGTTATTTAACTCAAAAGTTCCATCAAAATATTGTAATTATTATTTTTTAATAATCGCAAAATTACGAAACCGGTATGCTAATATGTTTTCCGGTTTTTAATTTTTTTTCCAACCGTTTCAGATAATTGAACGTGCATAATTTGTATAATTATAGCTGTAGTTTGGTTTTTTACATATAGTAAAACTTTTTTCAACAACATAATCAAGTTGAAAAACTTATATTTAATTTTTTTAGGGTACGTCCAATGACGTAGCAGACATCCCCTTGACACGCCCCTGCATTATGGATACTTTAACTTCAGATAAATGCATTCTTATGTGTTAAGTTTTGACTTAAATTTAAGTCAAAACTTAAGTATATAAGTTCTCATATAGTTTTATTATAAATGATATTAGCTGAACATATATAGTTTATTTTTTGGCTTATATGTGAATTTAATTAAATAAAATAAGACAACTAGCAATATCAACTTTATAACAAACGCGTGTTATGGTATTTTACAACAAGCAGATTTTAAAATCTCTATGCTGCGGCCAAAGTAGCAGCATGGATTTTTGCCTTACGCCCTTTAATAATTATTTTACAAAAATATGATTTTAAAAAAAAACAATTTTTAGTTAAATATATTAAGTGGTACTTAAAATAAACAACTTTGATATTTCGAACTTATTTTTGCTTTTCGAATAAATATTTTTTAATTACATAATCATAGATTGTATTACTGTACATTATGTACACATTATCATATTACTGTATATTATGTACACAGTCCTGTATTACAGGGCTGTAATAACAAAATATGGATTGCGTGAGCAGTCAAGCTTTATATATACTCTAATGCAAAGTCTAGTTGCATAAAACTTTCTCTGTTGAAACCATATCAAGCATAATTAGAAGAACTTAGGCACAATTTTTTTACAAAAGTTTCAATGTTTTTTTGTGTGTAACACTTTTTTATAACTGGGTTAGAGAGTTTAATTAAAATATAACCTATAATTTATAATAAACTTTTAAAATTTTGACAATTTAAATAATATATTTAAAATACTTGCTTTGTAAACTAATATATATTCTTGAAACAGTTTATGCTGGAAACCTTAAAACGTAACAAATCGATTTTTAAAACATTTCAACAGAATACTCTAGAACATTATTTTGCTTAGTCAGCGGTTTTTTTGAACTAATATAATTATTTTGTTCGTTAACTTGGCGGGTTTTTAGTGTTCGCGAATATTCCTTTTATTCTTTTGCACTAAGATGTTTTGAAAACATTTAAGTTTTTTTATGTTTCCATGTATGTCCGTAAAACAAAATTTTTTTTCTTTCGTACATAAACTTAAATGTTCTCAAAACGACTAAAAAACCTGGCCAGTTTTTCGTCACTAAATATGATTTTCGTGGTCAGTATTCGAGAGTGATCGCTCCCGCTTCCCGACCAAACCTGAAAACCTTTTGTAATCCAAGGGGAATATATATTTTTTGTTTTACTTTGGATGTTGGTTTTTTCGTTTCTAGTTACCTGCATAATCCTAGCTTTTTTTCATAGCGTGTTGTAAAGATGAGTTTGTTTTCTAATTTTAAAAATAATTTTACATCAATTTGTAAAGTAGAATTTTAAGTTTATTAGGTTTAGCTTATTTTAAACTAAATAAACTTTTACTTGGACGATCATAACCTTTTCTTATTAAATTTATATAAAATTTTTGCTTTTGTATAATTAATTTTAATCGTTTTCCAATGATGTATAAATATTTAATATTTAGATAATTTGAAGTTTATTTTTATTCATTTGCTTATATTATTAACTAGTTTTTAAGTTGTTATGAATTACGTTTTTGTGCAACTGAATTTGTATTTATGAAAAATACCCTGTGATGTGTATTCCAACCAGTTTATGTACTTTGTTAGCGTACAATCATACTCAGAAAAAAATCATGTGTTTTTCGTAGTTTATTTTACATAAGAGTTTATTTCTGTTTGCAAATAATTAATTAAAAAGTTTGTTTAATGCAGTTCTAAATTATTTTTATTGTTTTATCGTTAAAATATTGTAATTAAAAATTTTTGTTTTTATTATTTGTAGTGATAAATAAAATGGAACATAAAGAAAAAATGACCGAGGTTGGTAGAAAATTAAATGAAGAAGATGTGAAACGTATAAAGTATATCTTAGCAGAAAAGATTGGTAAAGGTATTCAGAAAATTATAAATGGTCAAGAAATGATCATCGAATTGGAAAGTATTGGTTTTGTTAGCGAAAATAATTATAAAGATATTATTACTATACTTGATACTCTGAATCGAGCTGATCTTGTGTCAATAATCAATGGTGAGTATCAACCTGGTAAGTATTACATAATAAGGCATTCACTAACTTTTTAAACTGCGTATATATCGTATATATTTTATATATCGTGTGCAAACTAAGCAAATGTTGATTAACTCCATCAACATTATATTTGATTTATATGATTATATTAGCATAACTTTTTTTGTAAACTTGAACTTAAATGTTTTTTTTACTGATTTTTTATTGTTTTTGTTTACATTTGACGTAATATAAATTACATATTTTTAAAATATAAACAAGGCTTCTAAAAGAAGATCACAATGATCTTATCGTCAGAAGCTCTTTACAAAAAAGAGTACTTAAAATATTATAAAAAACGCATTTTTACAATAAGAGGACGTAAAAAATCATATTAAACCGTATTTACACAAATGAAAATAAATTGTAAACAAGCATAAAACAAAACTTGAACATACATGACAATAAAGTTTATTATTATTTTGTTTTTTATCACAAGATAAATTTAAAATATTTTAAGATGCTTTCAATAAAAAGAATTACGTCTTTTAATTTTTTTTTAAAAACAGGATAAGTTAGTGGTAAGTTGAAGTTAGGCAAAATAATTATCTTCCAGAGATGAGTTGCACGATAAGTGATACAAAATTAATTGAATTTTGTTCGACGAATGGTTCATTTAAATTATTATTATTCCTCATGTTAAACTTGCTTAATGGTTTCAAAATAAAAAGATCTTTTAAAATAAAGGAGATATATCATGCTTCCACATATAAACAAAAGATAAATTTTTATATACGTTTAGTTTATATATATCGAGGATTTTCTTTTGATTAAAAAATATAGAGGAATGTGCAAACCGGATTCGCAGAATTAATTAAACGGATCGCATGTTTTTGACGGCGATAAAGGCATTGTAACTTGCTTTGATCAGTGCTCCCCCAGGCAATAACTCCATAACTTATATAACTGTGGATAAAAGAGTAATAAAGTTTAGTTGAATTACTTTTATCTAAATGAGTACGCGTCTTATATAAAATTCCGATACTTTTTGAAACTTTCGAGGAAACATAGTTAATATGATTTTTTCATGTGATGTTCTCGTCAATGAAAACCCCCAGGTGTTTAGTTACAGAATCTCTTTTAATTTCAATATGGTCAAAAAGAATTTTTTGTAGATTTGGAGGTAGAAAACGTTTTTTTGGAAAGTGGGTGGAAAAAAATCCATTTTGTTTTGGTTATATTTAATTTTAATTTGTTACTTTTAAACCATTTAGATATGTTTTTAAATTTATAAAAAGATCAGGAAGTTTTAATGGAATATCTTGTTTTTTATGAAGACGATGGAACAAAGTGTATTTGGATTTATTGATGTTCAAAGATAGTTTGTTTGATTTGAACCATTGGGTTAATTTTTCAAGTTCTTTGTTTACTGTTTGAAATAATTTACTGATATCTTTACTAGAATAAAACAAGTTTGTATCATCTGCAAACAAAATTAAGTTTAGAATGTTAGAAAATTTATATAAGTCATTAATATAAACGAGAAATAAAAGTGGTCCTAAAATTGATCCTTGAGGAACACCACAGGTGATTGACTTATATTCCGTTTTTCCTTCTTTTTTGGATAGAAGGATTTGATGATTGACAGTGTCAAAAGCTTTACTTAAATCAATAAATACACCTAGGATATACTTGTCTTCATCAAACCCTTTAAATATATCATGAACAAGGTGAGTGATTGCATGATCAGTTGAATGACCAGATTTAAATCCAAACTGTTTATGATAAAGAATATTATTAACATTTAAAAAGGAATATAGTCTATTATACATAACCCGCTCTAATATTTTAGAAAAACAAGAAAGAATTGAGATTGGTCTATAATTCGTAACATCGGAAGGATCACCTGATTTTAACACTGGAATTACTTTTGCAATTTTTAGGTTATCTGGAAAAACGCCTTGTTTTAGAGATAAATTAAAAATATGTAACTTGACTAAGTTCATTACAAGAAACATATAAAAATTGTTTATGACTAAGTTCATAAACAATTTTTATATGTTTCTTGTAATGAACTTAGTCAATAGCCGTTTATAGTTTTTATAGGTAGTTTCATTTTTAAGAGTTCTTTTTTTAAGAAACTTGTTATATAAGCGTTGTTTTTTTTTTTGAAGATCTAAGAATGCCCTTCGTGATCCAATGGTTTGAAAGTGTTTTTGTTTTGATTACTTTAGTAACTTCTGGGAATGCCTTGTAAAGATTAAGAAACTCTGTTAGAAAAATATCATACGCTTTATTGGCGTTTAGATTTAGTTTTAGGGTGTCCCAGTTAACACAGGATAGAAGCTTATAAAAATGACTAATAGAATTGTCGGTTATTAAACGTGTTTTAATTATTTTTTCCCGTTAATTTTGGGCATTATATATGCATTTTTGCGATAGGATAAAAATCGGAAAGTGATCAGACACGTCAGTTTTAAATACTCCTGTTCTTATATTTTTATTTATAAATTCATTTGTTATAATTTGATCTAGGGATGTTGAACTTTCCTTTGTTATTCGCGTTGGTTTATTGATTAGTATCGTATATACTATTGCCAAAGAATATGGTCTTAATACTACCAGCCTACATAGAGATGATTGTCTTTGCTGCATTTATAATATCAGTGGTCCTCAATCGAAAAAAATTAAAAAAATCTTATAAAAATTTTTAAAAACAATTTTAATCTTAACATCACTTACAAACCAAACTGAAAAATTGTATATTTTCTTAATATCACATTTAACCTCTTTGAGAACTCTTTTAAACCGTATATAGAAACCAGGAGATAATCCTTTATATATTAATATCAATTCCAATCATCTACAAAGAATTATCGATACCAAAAATGATCTCAAACGGCATTAGTAATATATTTTCAAGCAAAGAAGCTTTTGATAGAGCCACACCGTTTTATAATAACGCTTACAATTCTTGTGGTTTCAAAGATAAGATCAATTTCATTCCAAATATCCAGAAATATAATGCAAAATCACGAAAAAGAAACATTATCTGGTTGAACCCACCTTATTTACTCAACGTCAGAACAAACGTAGCAAAACCATTTTTGAGTACGATTGATAAATGTTTCCCGAAATGCCACAGGTTTCACAAACTTTTTAATTGAAACAACTTAAAGGTTAGTTTTAGCTGCCTTCCAAACATCAAGAGTACTATTACTTCTCATAATAAAAAGATATTAAATAATTCTCATGAAAATGCCAATCAATTATGCAATAGTCGACAAACCATCTTATGCCCACTCAATGGAAAATGTCTTACTAATTATCTTATTTATATTTGCAACGCAAAAACTAACCAAGTAGAAAAAGAATACTTTTACGTTAGGCTTACTGAGAAAACTTTCAAAGGCAGGTGGTATAAACATAAAAACTCCTATGTTTATGAAGGTTAGCCAACTCCATTGAACTTTCGAAATTTGTGTAAGAATGCAACAACAAAAATGTAGAACCTATATTAAAATGGAATATTCTCGATCAAGAGGAGACATTTAAACCTGGTGGTGAATTTTGCAGTTTATGCTTGACAGAAAAATACCACATTGTTACATCACCATTAAATTTGCTTAACAAACGAACCGAGCTTGCGTCAAAACGCCGCCATGAGAATAAATTTCTAATAAAGAACTCTAATGTCATCAAAGCGGACACCCATAGCATGTTTTGTATATAATTTTTGTCGTTTTTTTTTGGTTGTTGTTACATCTGATGTTCGCTATTGCGTGAAACTTTTAGCTATGTAATTGAAATATATTATAATAATTAATTAGTTTTCACTATATATATCTATATATATATATACACACACACACACACACACACACACACACACACACACACACACACACACACACACACACACACACACACACACACACATATATATATATACAGGGCCGCGGCGAGGAGGGGGGGGGGTGCCATTACAACTTTAGCCGACTAACAAAAAAAAAAAAAAAAAAGTCCTTGTTTTTTAAAATTTGTCGACTGCCATGACTACACCCCCTATCGCGCCGGCCTTGTAATTAATATGTATATATATATATATATATATATATATAATATATATATATATATATATATATATATATATATATATATATATATATATTGTAGGAATTATGTTAATATTTCCAGTAAGAGTGCTCAATACAGCGTTTTATATAATTAGTAGAGCAAATAATATAGTGAAAACTAAATAATTGTTAAGATATATTTCAATTACATAACTAAAAGTTTCACGCAATAGCAATCATCAGGTGTAACAACAACAAAAAAGTAACGACAAAAATTATATACAAAAAATGCTATGGAGTGTCCGCTTTGATGACATTAAAGTTTTTTATTAGAAACTTATTTTCATGGCATTTTGACGCAAGCTCGGTTCGTTTGTTAAACAAATTTAATAGCGACGTAATAATGTGGTATTTTTCTTTCAAGCATAAACTGCAAAATTTACCACCAGGTTTGAATGGCTCCGCTTGATCGAGAATATTCCATTTTAATATAGGTTCTATACCTTTATTTTGCATTCCCACACAAATTTCAAATGTTCAGTGGAGTTGGCCTTACTTTCATACACAAAGGAACCCAACGTAATAATATCCTTCTTCTTCTTGGTGAGTTTTTGCGTTGCAAATATAAATAAGATTTTTTGTAAGGCATTTTTGACTGTTAATAGCAAAATAGAGTTAAAAAATTTTTTCCGTAGACAATTATTGAATTTTTTGCTTATTTTAAAATATAATTTTTTGGCTTAAAATTTTGTTTTTTTAAGGTAAAAAAAGAGTTGATGTGAAAGCTGTAGAAAGTATTTTGACTTGTTACAGTTAATAAAATATTCATTAATAAAAGTTCTTTTCAATTAAAAAATGTATGTAAAATTAGGAAAAATTTAAAAATATATATTTTTTTAACCTTTATTCATTTGCTGAGATTTTTATTCAGACAGAGATTTTGGAAAAAGTATTAAAATCGATGAAGTAAAATTAGAAGAGCAAGTAAAAGAAGAGGAGGGTAAATTTTTATTTTTTAATTTTCAATAGATTTTTACAGTTACTTTTATCTTCTGTTTTATATATGCACATAATAGTAGTTGACTGCATTTTATAAATCTAACTCTTACACATCCACCCTACGACATTTACTTGTGTAATGTGCATTATTCTTTAATTTAAAAAAAATATATATTTTTGAAAGTCTAAAACTTTCATAAAACTAGTTATTAATAAAAAAGAGTTTTGTGTAAGCATCATCATCAAAATCTAATTTTATTATCAAAATTTATAGTATAACGTATTTAGATTCTAAAATCAGATATGGTCAACTTATTATTTAAATTAAAAAACGACCATATTTTATGTTTAACAAAATACAAGTTAAAGAGGATGTATATTCGAATTTTACTTTTCACATTTGATTTTTTTTTATAAAAAAACTTTACTTTTTATTAATTATTTATGGTTTTATTCCACAAGTTCTTTTTATTTGGATATTTTATTTTATTCTATTTGGTTTGTGCATTACTACCAATGGTATTAATTATTTTTTCATCGACTAATTGTATGGTAGTTCCATACAATTAATATATGAAAACTAATTATTGGTAACGTCACCTATCTTCTGTGAATAAATTTCAAAGTTTTAGTTAAAAATAATTAAATAGTTCCAAAGATATATCTAACTAGAGTTCATGAGCTTGAAGTAACAGTTATATTAAGAAATTTTTATTAATTATTTAACAATGGGAAAACAAAAATGAATAGTATTGAAAAAAAAAATCTCTGATAAAAAAGTATTTTATAATTCAGAAGAATTGATTTGAAAGTAAACTGTTAGTATTATATTGCATATAAATCAATGCTATGTACTGTTCCAAAACCTATTGATAAATGACTCCAAATTTTATAAAAGCTATATCTAGGCCCAACAATCATTTAGCTGGTGAATATTGAAATGCATAATATGTTTTCAAGCTTTAAGCAAGGTAATTGAGTGCAAAAGCTATGAAAAATTTATTTAAATTGAACATAGCAAAGTGAGTTGCTTATCTTATCAGCTTTTGGCGCAGCATTTCTGTTTTTTAAAACAAGCTTTTGGTTTATTACAGTTTTTTCTTAATGCTATTTTAATACACAACAAATTTATTAAATGTTCGTGTGTATTATGGTATAAAGAGCCTAATATAGCTTCTTCCCAGAGACTTCGAGGTCATCCAATGAAATTTGAAAGAGAATTTGCAAAAACAACACCGAGACATAATTTTTTTACGAACAGAGTGATACCTCATTGGAATGCTTTACCTGAAAAAGTGGTTTCTGCAATGACAGTAAATTCTTTTAAAGCTAGACTAGATAAACATTTGTTAACGGCTGGTAAAGTATAAATTTTAAACTTTATACTCCGCGACAATCGTCGTTACAGCAATTTGTATTACTATTACTATTACTATTACTATGTTATTTTAAAAATTTTTTCGTCAAGTTTTTACATAAACTTTTTTTTTGTAGATATAATACAGATGTTTATCGATATAAACCTCAATAAAAATTTCAAAAAAGAGTTGGAAGTTTTAGATGATACTTACATCGAACATGTTGGCTTGGAAAATATTATTATAGAAAGAATGAAAGCAAACCTTGATTTGTTAGAAGGTGAATGTGGGCTAGGCATAGGATGTGTGAATGAAGAAGATGAAGAGCTATTGAATGGTGAAAATGCCAAGTCACGTGCGGAGTTTTTTAAAAAAGTCGGATTCTCAACCACAGGAGCTGAAAATTTCGAAAATTTTATAGTTCCAACTATAAAACATTGTTCGTTTCAAAATTGGCTGGACATATATTTGGAAAAAATATTTTTTAGCGAAAATTTGATTACCTGCTTTCATGGTTTTCCTTTTGAGGGCCCTAACAACATACGATTTAGCATAAGCTCGTATCAAAGCTCTTCAAACTTGCATAGAAAAGATATTTCTGCATGGAATATAAAATTAAATCTTTCAGAAACGGATATTGCAACTAAAATTTCTGAAATTAAAACAGCATTGTCTTTAGGTATACAATTTTTTTTTAAATATTTATATCAAATAATTTTAACTTGACTATTTTTTAATGAATTTGTTGTTATTTATTATGAATAAACTTTAAACGTTTTCAATAATTTTACAATAAAAATACCATTACAAATTTTTTTCGTATTAAAGCAGTGGGTTATCATTTGAATAGAGAGAACAGAAACTCTTTTACTACATTTTTTACATTTCAGGTAAAGAAACCTGGTATCACGGGACAAATGGAAATTTTGCAAAAAATATTATTTCAAATGGAATTGATTCACAAAAAGGAAAGCCTAGAAAAGACTTTTCACATCAAAATGGGTTTTACCTTCAGCAAAATTTTGAAAAAGCCATAGAATGGGGAAGTATATATAAAACGGAGATCTATGCTGTTTTAATTTATAATATTCCTGAAAAAGATCTTCGTGATTTCAGAAGTGTGCCTGAATTAAATAGTTCCAATTTACAAGATTGGGAAGAAGTTGTAAAGTTTTTTAGGTAATGTAAAAGTTTTATAGACTTTTAAGTGTTGAATATAATATATATATATATATATATATATATATATATATATATATATATATATATATATATATATATATATATATATATATATATATATATATATATATATATATATATATATATATATATATATATATATATATATATATATATATATATGTATATATATATATATATATATATATATATGTATATATATATATATATATATATATATATATATATATATACATATATATATATATATATATATATATATATATAATTTTTTTTCATATCTCATGTTTCATTTTTTTTACTCTTTTTTTTTAATGATTGATTTTCATATATTAAGTTAATTCAACTCTCATACTAGATGTCGTCATTTAAAAAATATATATATAATATTATTGTTATTATTATTATTATTATTATTATTGTTACTATTTTCATTTAAAAACTGTATTTCGACAATATTACATTTATCTGCCGCATTGTAAAGTCTTTAGTTTATTAAACAGTTTTAAAAATGCATCAGACAACATCTCTATGTGGTCGAAAAGGTTAGTGGTTAGTGCAAAGGCAAAAAAAATTTGCAGCTAAAAAAAAGATTAAAGTTTTATTTTTAAATTAAAGTCTTTTTTGCTATTCTTATTTTTTTTTCTATAAATAGATACGGGCAGGTTAAAAAAAATGAAAATATAGAGAAGATGAAGCCTCGCAAACAAGACCAAGGACAGCGCATTTTCTGTTTACACTTGCCGCAAAATAAATACTCTATTTTACAAGAACAAAGAAAACAAGGCTTCTGAAAGAAGATCAACTGATCTAATCATCAGAACCTTTACAACTTTATCATACCATAAAAACTGAAAATATAAATCCGAAAACGGCCGTAATAATAAATATATAATAATAAATTCATAATATTAACCACGTATCTGTAATAATAATTCTCACAAATCTGTTATAACAATCCATAATAATAAATTTTATAGATCTGATATAAATTAAAGAAAATAAATTTATTTGTATAAATATGATTATAAATCTCATAAATCAAGTTTATACTTCAAGCTAATAGTAACTTAAAATGTCATCCATAGCAAGAATAAATTTTTTAAATTCATTTTTAAAAACAGAAATACGGATAAAAGGATCAAAATTAGGCAAAACTGTTTTATTCCAAAGGTAAGGTGCTCTATAATTAATACAAAATTTATTAAATTTTGTTCTACAAAATGGTTCATTTAGCAAATCTTTATTTCTTAGTGAGTATTTATTAGTAAGTTTTAATGTAAAAAGGTCGTTAAAAACAGGTAGGGATAAATTGTTTTTCCACATATAAGTAAAGCATAAAACATTAAAAACATTAAGTTTGAAGACATTAAGTATTTTCATTTCATCAAAGAAAGGTTTTGAATGTGTAGAGCAATCCACATAATTAATCACGCTAATCGCATGTTTCTGTTGGCGATATAGACGTTGTAGTTTACTTTTTTCGGTACTACCCCATGCAATATTTGCGTAGTTTATATAGCTGTGTATGAATAAGTAATAGGACTGTGTAAGGCTTTTTTTGCTTAAGTAAGGTCGGTATTTATACAAAATGCCAATATTTTTAGATACCTTGGTGGTTATATGATTAATATGATTTTTCCAAGTAATATTCTCATCAAGATAAACACCTAGGAATCTTATAACAGAATCTCTTTTTATTAGAGTTTCATCAATATAAATTTGAGGTATAATATCTGGTAAAGAACGTTTTTTTGACAAGGAATGAAAAAGAATCCATTTAGTCTTGTTAGTATTTAACGTTAATTTATTATATTTAAACCATTTAGAAATGTTTATAAGTTCATTATTAGTTTTTGATAAAAGTTTGTAATTATCAGTGTTTGTAAACATCAGAGTGATTGAAATAAGTTAGTGTCATCGGCATAAATAATACTCATCAGGTTAGAGGCTTTGTTTAGATCATTGACATATATAAGAAATAGCAGCAGTCCAAGAATAGAACCTTGTGGAACACCACAGGTTATATTTAAGGATACACTTTGAACGTCATTATAACTATAGACTACTTGCTTACGATTTGTTAAATAGCTGTTAAACCACGCTAAAGTATTATGGTTTAAACCGTAATACTTCATTTTTTGTATTAAAATATTATGGTTAACCGTATCAAATGCTTTTGATAGATCTATAAAAATACCTAATGTATATTGAGCTTTTACAAAGGATTCGGAGATGTTGCGTACAATTTGAATAATGGCATCCTCAGTTGAACTATCTTTTTTGAAACCGAATTGATTATTGTATAGTAGGTTATTGTAATTAAAATAATTATTAACTCTGTCAAACATAATTCTTTCTAGGATTTTGGAAAAGATAGAAATAGAATAGGATAGAAATGGGGCGGTAATTATTGATATTGGATCTGTCGCCTTATTTGTGAATTGGAATAATTTTAGCAATTTTTAAGCGCTAAGGGAGAATTCCTTGTTGGATGGATGCTTTGTAGATTTTAAAAAGAATATTTTTAATTTGTTCATAGCAATCTATAACTATATTTCCGTTTATTTCATCAGGCCCAGTTGCTTTATTTTTTTTTTAAGGTTTTAAAAGCTTTTTCAAACTCTTCAAAGGATAATTCGGTCGATAGTTCATCTGAGCAAATGCCTTTATCAAGAGGTGCTAAAAAATCATGAAAAGAAGTTTTGGTAATTAGAATTTTACCTGATAGGGTTAGACCAATTTCAACAAAATATTTATTAAACTCATTAGCTATAATTTGTGGATTGTATAAAATTTTGTTATCGATTTTAAGCATGTGTGGCAAAAAACTTGAGCATGTTTTTTGTTTTCCAATTATTTCTTTTAGTATTTGCCAAGTGCGTTTTACGTTATTTTTTGTTTCATTATTCAAATTTGAATAGTAGTTTTTTTTAAAACTTTTCCGGATTTTTTCAAATAAATTTTTATATTCATTGTATTTTTTTTCCCTTGTAGGAGTTTTTGTTTTTAGGTATTTTATATATAACTTTTGCTTAGTTTTTGATGATTTTTTGAAACCTTTGGTAACCCAAGGATTATTTATGTTTTTAGTTTTTGATGTATGAGTAACATTAGGAAAGTTAGCATCGTAAACCGAAAAAAATGTTTTAAAGAAATTTTCAAAAAGATTATTAGCGTTATCATTAACGTTTAAATGTTTCCAATGAAGTAGCAATAGTTGGTTTTTAAACAATTCAATTTTTGATTGATTAAAAATACGTTTAGTTCAGATTTTGTTAGGTTTTTTTACATTTGTTTGGTTAGTGGGTATAGTCAGAAAAATAGGAAAGTGATCCGAGATATCTGTTTTTAAGATTCCTTTTTTTATATCATTATTAAAGATGTCTGTTGTAATGATATTGTCTAGTAAAGTTGCTGAGTATTTTGTCACTCTCGTCAGGCGATTTATTAATAGAAAAGCTCCAGCCTCAAAAATTGAATCATAAAAGTTTCTAACTTTGTTGTTATCATTATATATAAAAAAATTCATATTAAAGTCTCTAATAAGAAAAATTTTTTTATTTTTCTTATTTCCTTTTTTAAAAACGTTTTGTAGTAAGAACCATGCTCAAGATTTCGGCCATACCATCAGGTGGTCGATAACAGCAGCTTAGAAGAATGTTTTTTGTATGTTCAATTATTATTTCAATGGTTAAAAGTTCTCCATCACCGTTAGAAATACTAAGATCGTTTCTAAAACAATCCCTAATATTTTCATGAACGTAAATTAGAATTCCGCCACCGCGCTTTGCCTTTCAAGTGAGATTATTTCAAAATGAGGAAGATGAAAATTAGAGTCATTAATTAAATCGTTGGAAGTAGCCCAAGTTTCAGTAAAACAAATTATATTAAAAGTGTTTTTTGTTTCTTTAAGTAAATTTTGAAGTTTTTCAAAATTGCAATTAATGCTTCGAATATTAACGTGTAGAATTCTAATTTGATATAAGTTTTTATTGCTAATATTGTTAAATAGAAACCCTTCTACTTCCCACAGATAGTAATAAGCACATTCTTTGTTTATTTCATGAAAATAATTAATGTCTTTGTTAATGTTTTCGCGCAATGAAAAAACATCAAAAAAAGTAAAAGTTTCGAAATCGTTTACTGAAGCCATAATTAATAAAAGCAAATAAGTTTATGTAAAAATATAATAAAAATTTAAAAGATAATATATAACTTTTTTTTGGAATTCCAATCGCGAACAATAAGTTTGTCGTATGAAATATATGCGTATTTGCTTGCCTTTCTATTTTCATTTTTTCATGTAGTGTCTTTTGTATAATATTTGTTTCCTTGCAGTAATCTTCATATATAAAAATGTTTTTACCTTTTAATTTGGAAGAGTTGTTAAGAACTTTATTTTTATCTTTAAAAACAAGAATTTTTAGTATTATTGTTCTATGTTTGCTGTAAACTACTTTGCCTATTCTATGCGCTCTTTCAATGTTTACATTTTCGACTCCTAATATGTTGTTGAATATTTCTTTTACCTTCTTTTCACATTCAGCCCAGCTTTCATTGTCATTTTCAAGGACATTATCGATTCTTAAATTATTACGCCTTGACCTATTCACAATCTCTCTGAGTTTGTTATTTATTTTTATATGTTCATTGTTGTTTTGATGATTGCCAGATTTTCTTTTGCAAGACAATTAATGGCGGTTTTTATTTTTTTATTAAAGAGATCTTCATGAAAATTTAAACTTTCTTTGATTTCTTCTACTTCCTTTGCAATTGATGCTATTTTGGTTGAGTTTTAAAGTATGTTAAGTTCAACTCTGTCTAATCGATCGTTTAAAATTTTTGTGTTAGAACTAACTATGTTGATGAAAGTATTTTCTTGATCTTAAACTTTATAAACATTTCCGTTATTAATTTTTTAACTGCAACAAGTGTGATAGACATGTTCAATAAGTATAAATTATATAATATAAATAACTATTAATACTATTAACGATTTTCTATTTTATTTTCTTTAAGCAGCGAAAAAGCGTGCGTTCACTTCAGCGTTTGTTGCTAAAAAAAGTTTATGTTTAGAACGACGTTTAGAACGATCGTCCAGAAATTGAAAGAAAACAGAAAGAACAATCATCCAACGCTAAATTTATTTAGCGTTGCGCAATGGACGATCCCTAATTAAAAAACAAATTATAAACTTTTATACCGATTGCAATTAATAAACACTTTCGAGCGGGTTCTCTAAATAAACGCAGCTTTATAACATAGCATCTAATATAATAATATAATATAATATAACAAAAAACAAATATGTTACGGGTGAAAGTTAAAAATCAACTTTTGATACAAGATAGTGTGCACGAAGACTTTTCTTATAGGTACGAGTTTTTTTTGCTTAAGAGCCGTTTTTTTTAAGAATCAGGCAAATTCCTGAAACTGTGGAAGTGACCTCTTCCAAATTGCTTGAATTTTTTATATATTGATCAGAATATAGAGAAAACCTGTTGGGGAAAAAAAAATTTTCAAAAATGTTTCGTTCACTCGGAATCTGGGCTTAAATTTTTGAGATTTTTTTAAAAATTTTTAGAAATTTAGTTTTTGCCACCTTTGAACCCATTTTTTTGGAAAGGCAAAAAGTTGCACATAGCTTTTGTAGTTAATATCATACGTAACCCAAAAGCTCTCTCCAAAAAATATAAAAAAGTTGCGTGACACTGTGCGGTTGGTTAATTATCATAGTTCAAAAGTACAAAATCAATCAGTTTTGTCAGTTTTTAATCGGAGTTAATTCTAGCGGCGAAGTGTTGCACACAATTTTTCTTTTAGGATTTGAAATTATCAAAGGTATTGAGTCTAAAAAAGCAAAGAAAGTTATGTGATACCTAAGGCCTATTAATATATTAAGGCTTGAAATTGGAAAAAAATGTTTTAGTATACTTACAAAATGAACCATTACGGCAGAGGCGCTTAGTTTTGTAAAAATGTAAACATATCCAACTGTCAATACAAAAAGGTCCTAACATAATAATAAAAAAAATTCGTGTGATTTTGTCACACGCATGATATAACATGAATTAAAAACTGAACAAAAATCTAACATCAAGATAACTATATTGCTAATTAAATAAAACATAAATCAAACATTTAAATGTTTTTCCATTTAAAAATTAGTTTTTTATTTATTAATAGAGTCATTTACACACATTATCCACCACATCACACATAATTTCTACTCTGCTGCAGTAAGTTTCTCTAAGAATAATGATATGACTGAATTATAGTCTTCTTCGGATAATGAATAATCGCCACAACCACTGATTAGAAAAGGAGCATTTACTAAACAGATAATTTTATCAGTTTGGTTATTTATCTCCTCTGTAGTAACTGGCCAGCGAAAAGTATTCTTCTCTTGCCCGTTAATCATACAATTAACTCTGATCCCAGTTATAGATACCTAAAAGTATTAGCGCAACATTTAAAATAATATAATAAAGAGTTTATGATTTGTTTAATTTTGCTTACATTCAATAAAACTTGTAAAGTCTTATATAATGTCATTCTGAAATTATTTTTACATTTTATTTATATTCTTTTTATTTTAGAGCACTGTTTTGTAAAACAAAATAAAAACTTGAAACTAATATATACTTTGTATAATATTACCTCCACAATATATCCAAAGTTCCATTGATTTTCATATGCAACAGCAACCCAATCATTCACTTTCCATACAAGACAAATTTCTTTGCAAGATTGGCAATGTCTTCCTCATTTATTATCATCTTCATTGTCTCCTGTCAGATTAAAGTCATCATTTTCGCCATAAACTTCTTTGTTATCGTTAACCTGACTATTTTTATTACTTTCTGTTGTCGGTTCTACCAGCTTACCTATTCTTTTCAGGTTACTAAATCTATAACAATATCAATTGTACATATTTTTAAACATATGTAAACAAACACACAAAATTATAACTTTCACCTAAATTTTAATTACATATTTGTAAAAGAACTATTTAACAGTCAGAAACATAATCTAATTTTGAAAAGTTTTGATAGCAACAATCCCTACCTTGAAAATACCTAAGATAAAGATAAAAACCCAGATTCCGAGTGAACGAAACATTTTTGATATTTTTTTTTTCATTAACAGGTTTTCTCTATATTCTGATCAATATATAAAAAATTCAAGCAATTTGGAGGAAGTCACTTCCATTGACTGCCTGATTCTTTCAAAAAATGACTCTTAAGCTGTTTTTTTTTTATGTTTTTGTATTTAAAAAATTGACGAGGTTAAAAATTAAAAAAACATAAAAAATGTTGTCTCATCCAAGTAGAAAATTTGAAACTTCGATTTTAGATTTATCCCTCACTTGATTTTAAATGAACTAACATAACACATTTGAATGTGTATTCAGTGTCTTTAAAAAATTTTTTATTCCATTCTTTAGGTTGATTTTATGCTTTTACAATTGATTTATAAGTCGTTGGATTGTTAATGATTTTCTATAAGCGAAGAAGAAATATCAATAATTTACATACCATTTACTAATATTTAACTATACTTAGATTGTTTAATAATAGATTTTATAGTGATCTTGCTTGATTATAATTTCAATTATTTATTTAAGGTCTGGTCGTAATGCTCTAATACCGCGTTGTTTTCCTAAATATGAGTATAAAATAGATTTTATACGAGGTCTTGTTTCAAATTATGCATGTCAAAAAAAAACTTATACACAAAACAATATGGATGAAGTTCAGCTTTGCTCGAAAAGTCAAGACATGGAATGGTTTTTGAATGGATGTTTGATTGGTGTAATCTTTTTTCAAAATTGTGATGAAAAGTTATTTTTTTAAAAAAAAGTAATTATATAATTCTTATTTATAAGTTATATTTACTATATTTATTAGTTATATTTATATTTTATATATTTATTTTTATAATTTTATTAATTTTTTTATTTTTATGTAACTTTTAAAGTTTATTTTTAATTACTTCATATATTTATATTTATAAGTTATATATTTATATATATTATATATTTAAATTTTAACAACTTTTTGATTTTGTAAGATTATGTTTTGTAAGCAATTATTATTTGACTCCGGGTTTTGTGTGTTTTTTTTTTGTTCCCTGTAAAGATACCCGTTGGGAAATGAGCTAGTGAATAGTGAGCGACTAGCTAGCTTTATAGCGATTTTCAAGCGTTTTTTTTTTTTAATTTTATTCTTTACTAATGTCTCTAACATCTTTAAAAATTCGATTTTTAGTGTTGAGTCTATTATAACTATGAGAATAATTGAACTTTAAACATTGCAACTTTGTAGCAATGTTTCGCTTGCTACATATTGTAGCTTTGTAGTTAGCTACAAACTATCTACAAATCTATAGCTGGTTGATAACCACATACCAATTTTTTTTTGATAGCGATTTTATTACGATATGACGGTAGCTACAATAGCCTGTGAGTCTTTAGCTCATTAAGCTAGCTGCCCTCGTTGCCAAATTGCTGATTATAGCTAGTTATTCGCTGGCCGATTTCCCATTGGGTACCTACAAAATATTTGTGAAAAAAATAATTTTAAAAACATCTATCTAGGGGTGTCTGGAAAAGTGCTTTTTAAATGTACTAGAAAATAAATTTTTTGAATTTTTTTTTGTAACTTGATTAAATATGTAAATAACATACCCTTAAGTAAGTTTTTTTATTATAAAAGATTTTCTAGTAAAACCGTAGCACAAACATAAATCTAAATGTTTTAGTAATATTTGTAACTTTTCTTGCCTAAAATAATTTTAAGGCCTTAAATCTCATAATTTTGAGCTGGCACCTTGATAACCATGTCTTAAAATAGAATTTCTGGATCACCAAGGTCCAAAGTGCTTCCAAATCTCTAAAAGTAAATCTCCTAATACATTTACACCACCCATTAAAAGATGAAGTGTGGCGGGATTCGATGTTAAATTTCAACATCTAATCCCGCCACACTTATTTTTAGGCTTATTTATCTTGATGATGATATCGATCAACATCAAGATAAGAAAGTCTAAAAGAAATTAAAGCATTAAATAATGTTGGCTTGTTAATAAAATAATGCTAATTGGTTGATAAAATAATGTTGATTGTTAATTTAATGTATGCCTTTTGTGAATAACATTATTATGGTATTTCATATCTCTCACTTTTACATCTGATCTGAAATTATTAAAGATGTTAATATCTAAATATATCCCTCTCTCATTTTAGATAAATTATGAAATATATAATATTACCAAGGCTTCTAAATGTTCTTGGCTTTCCAGCATTTACTTCGATTTCACCTTGACATTACATGCAGGCATATTTTTTTACTATGAGAGTTAATTTCTAAAACAACGTTAGCTAGCTTCAAATTAAATGCTAAAAGTAGTTTTTTAGACCAACTAACCAAGTAACTAAAGGAGTTAACTAAGAATTTATTGAAAAAAAAAAATTTCTTATAATTATGTTATTTTTGTCAATTTTTTGTTTTTTTAAAACTTAATATCAAATCTATGCAATAAAAAAAATCATGTTCTATTTAAATAACCTACAAAGAAAGAAAATCTGCCTACGGTTAGAACTATTGTTATTGTAATGAAAACAATAACAGTAACAATAACTATTGTTATTGTATTAATTTAGTTTGAATCAATAACAATACTTGTGATTTACAACTATTGTAATACTGTAATACAATAACAATAAATTGTATTGCAGTTCATCTTCATAATACAATAACAATATCTGAAAAAAAAAAGTATTGCAATGACCCACTACAGCAACAAATACTGTATTGTAATTCGTTTTTATAATACAATAACAATATCTTGTTATTATAATAAATAACATGTTATTATAATACAATAACAATATCTTGTTCTGTAATTAAAAATAATAACTTTAACGTCAAAATTTAATAAATATTTTAACAATCCAGTCTCCGATATATGTGGCTTTGAAATAGGGTACAACTAATGTATCATTATTGGCTTTGTTTCTATTTTATTTACTGAATGTCCTTTATCATTGTTGTAAACTTTATATAGCACTAAAAAAGTGAGTTTAATCTGACCTGCATTTCTTTTACTACTGGGGATAGACATAATTAAGTACTACCATTTCTTCCACTTAGTTATTTGCTTTTATATTAGGCACCTATTCAATTGTTTCGAAACTTACTCAACTCATACTTACTCTAATGTAACTTTGTCTTTTATTTCCCTGAGGCTTTATGGCTGTATGTGTTTCCATAACGCTGTAATTACCACATTAGTGGTTAATTATATTAAGAAAAAAAATTGTTTTCAAGCGCTTTTTGCATTTAATTAATTATATATATATATATATATATATATATATATATATATATATATATATATATATATATATATATATATATATATATATATATATACATATATATATATATATATATATATATATATATATATATATATATATATATATATATATATATATATATATATATATATATATATATATATATATATATATATATATATATATACATATACATATATATATATATATATATATATATATATATATATATATATATATATATATATATATATATATATATATATATATATATATACATATATATATATATATATATATATATATATATATATATATATATATATATATATATATATATATATATATATATATATATATATATATATATATATATATATACATATATATATATATATATATATATATATATATATATATATATATATATATATATATATATATATATATATATATATATATATATATTTATGTATATACATATATATGACTGCTGAAATCGAGCGTCACGGGATCTTATAAATTTTCTAGTGCTAAAAAAATAATAAATGCGTGAAAAAAGAATCTAAATACTATAAAATATAATAGCTATTTGACTTTGAAATAGTAATACAATACACCACAGTACTTATTGTAACTGTTTTTTATCCCAGCAATACAATACAATAATTATTGTAATTGTTTTACATCACAGCAATACAATACAACAATTTTAGAGTTTCAATGTTTTGTTAGGAAAAAAACGCAATAGTTATTGAAACTGTTTTTATTCACAGCAATACTATAACTATAAATAATGTTTTAACTAGCAGAAAGCAACCCGTAATACGGGTTGTTGTCGGTCTCTTACATAGTTAATTTATAGTGGCTGTTTTCCACAATTTAATGTTGCAAAGCTTTAAATTTTGGAAAGGCCTTTTCGTATTGCTTAGTGAACACGTGAATAAAAAATTCATAGCCGTTATTTACGTCATTGCAATCAGTCAATAGTTCCCAGTTTACTTCTTGTAAGAGGTCTCGAAACGTGGCGAGTGATTCATTATTTATTTTTCTTTCATATACAGTTTTTGTTTTTGTATGTTTCTCAGGGTTTGCAGAATATGTACTCAGAAAAACTGGAAAATGGTCAGTTATATCTGTTTTAATAATACCACTTTGCCATTCCACGCTTGTGTAATTGTTAGTAATAATATTATCGATAATGGATGCAGTTGTTTTAGTCACGCGTGTTGGCTTGTTAATCATAGGGAAAAGGTTGTACTGCAAAAGTGTATTTGTAAAACGCACGACGTGGTTATCTGTTTTATAATTCAAAAAATTCAAATTAAAATCACCTAATAAATACACATGTTTTTTTATGAGCTTTGGTAGCAAGTAGTTTAAGTGGTTTTCAAATTGATTGTAATTACCATTAGGTGGTCTATATAATGCTGTTATAAATGCATTTTTATTTGTTTTATTAATTATTTCAATTGTAAATGACTCACAATCAACGTCATTTACTTTGAGGTTTTCTATGTACTTAAAAGTCAATGAGTTTTGGACGAAAATTGATACGCCCCCACCAATGCCGTTTACTTTAGGTTGATGAATGGATTTATATCCTGATAATTGAAAGTTAGAATTAATCGTGTCTCGATGACACCAAGTTTCAGTCAGACAGATAATACTAAACTTGTTACTTATATTATTTAACATAGATTTTAAATTATCAAAGTTTTTATTTATGCTTCTGATGTTTAAATGTAATAATGAAAAATGGGATGATAAAGAATTAAGAACATGATTAACATCGTCAACATTGTAATAAGCCGTTTCTACTAAAATTTCGTCAAAAATGTTAATATTTTTATCATCGTCATTACTTCGGTTTAGTGTGTTTTTCCTTCCTGATATGTCAAAAACATTATTATTGCTGGCTACCGCCATTTTAGCAATAATAAATAAAAATACTATTTAAATTACAAAAAATATATACAAAAAATAAATAAACTTTAAGCATTTTTATGAGATTTTTTAAAATCTTTAACTACTAATTTATCATAAATAACGACAGAATATTTACCGTTATTCCTGTGAGCTCGCATTTCTTCAAAGAGTTTTTTACGTATGGTTAGGGTATCCAAAGAGTAGTCTTCATTTATAAATATTCCTGTTCCTTTTAACTTTTTTGAATTCTTTAATATGTTAATTTTATCTTTATAGTTCAGGAGTTTTATCACGACTGATCTAGGTTTACTCTGCCCGATTTTTCCGGTTCTATGCGCCCTTTCGATAACTACGCCACTTACATTTAGTTGTTTTTCAAAGATACTTAAAACTTTTTCTTCAGATTCATTCCAACTTTCAGATTCGCTTTCAGTTATTCCTTTAAGCCGCAGATTGTTTCTTCTTAGTCGATCTTCCAGTTGACGCAGCTTATTTTTTTCTTCTGCATTAAATGCTACTTTTGAGACAATTTTTTCTTCAATTTTATTGATTTTTTCCTCTTGGGTATCTTGCGTAAAAGTTATGCTG